AAACCATGTAGGGCACAATGTAGGAAACGATGTAGGGCACGATGTAGGAAACCATGTAGGGCACAATGTAGGGCACGATGTAGGAAATGATGTAGGTCATGATGTAGGGCACGACATAGGGAACCATGAAGGGAATGACATAGGGCATGACGTAGGGAGCACCTCGGCAAAGCCACATTTCCCAAACTACTCGAGCTGTTAGTAGCGTCGCTCGCTGGCCGTGATCTGTGCCGTAGCACCGTAGTGGAAACACATCACATCCACAGTTTAATGCACCAGCAGTATGCACCGTCGTGCGCCGTGCGATGGTGCATACTGCTGGTTAGCGACCATGGGCTGTACACTGCTGTTCACGGTGCATTGTGGGATATTTTAGTGAGTGTACAGTGTGTAACATTGGGACAGAACAACAACACGGTGAACGACCTGTACAGCCACTGTGTGGGTGTAGTGGGTGGTTGGGACACAGCCCTGGTCTACGTCTTCTTCTTTGAGTTCAGTCGGAAGTTCTCGTCCACCTGAGTGTTATTTTTGTTTTCTTTTGATCATTTTATTGATAGTGAACTTTTTGTTTGTTTGTTTTCTGTCTTTACATAATGTCCTCAGTCTGACCTTCACTTTTAACTTCTAGTAAATCCAATAAACAAATGAAATCTGTTTTTCTTGAAGAATGATCTGATGTGCTTTTCATTGTTTACATGTTTATGTTCTTGTTTTCTCTGTCCTATGTTTTCCTTTGAATAGAAGTTTTTGTCTGATCTTCAGATACTCAGGTGTGTCTCTGTTTGTGCAGGCGCTTGGTTCCCATGGTAACAGCGCGGTGGAGGTGGACCGCGACACGGCCGAGCGGATGGGTCGTATCCAGGCCAGTTACCGCGGTAACCGAGAGGCGGTGCTGGGCGAGCTGCTGCGACGTGTCTGCGACATTCAGCCAGAGTTTCATGCCAACTACCGTGTGGCCGGCTGAGGGGCGGGGCCACGCCATGCTGTGGGCGGAGTCAGGATCAGAGGGGCAGGGCAAACAGCCGTGGGCGATGTCCAACTTTAGCTTCGTTAGCTACAATAACAGCCAAACCATTTGATGTCAGTTGGTCAGGTTTCTGAGTCGGGCCCCTCGTGTTTCTGCTGCGACACCACAACAGACATGTTGGTGTTACTGTTTATTTATAATAAATCTCTTGTTTTTATTGGAATTAAGTCTTCTCCCACTCAGCCAATCAGAGTTCAGTTTAAAGTCAAAACAACACAGTCAGCTGCTGACTGGCTGTTGTGGCTCTTTGATCTCAGATCTGATTGGATGGATCAAGTGTAAAGGCTTTTATTGTGAAACTCTTGTGCATTCCTAGTGTTGTTTCCTGTTAGTGCTCATGTGACTTCCTGTTGTTGTTTGTGACTCATGGTAATGAAACATTAAAGTGGATATTGATTGGATGACACTGTGTGCTGCTCTGTGATTGGCTGATGAAACTCTGACATCACATATACATGACACCATTAGTTCTGCTGTAAACGGCATCGGATCGGTCTGTGGACGGCTGTTTCCATGCAAGGCCTGTGGTCCACATGCTATCTCTGTCGCTTGTTAAAATGGAGCCTGTTTTTCAGAGATCCCTCGTATACCGTCCCTGTCCCATCCTAATGGCCGCTCCCAAAAAGGCGAGCTGCTTGGAGAACATGACTATCGGCCGGTCGCACTCACCTCACTTGTTATGAAGTGTCTTGAAGAAAATGTTCGGGTGTGTTTTAGATCCCACAGAACCAACAGGAGCACAGAAGACGCCCTCCTGACCTGGAAACACTTCACCTGGACAACTTCATGTGCTCGTCTTTTACTGATCGATGTTAGTTCAGCGTTTAATGCGCTACAGACACACCTTTCAACGAAGAAGCTGAGTGATGTCAATGTGCAGCCCTCTGTTGTCAGATGGTTCCAGTCGTTTAACTGATCGTAGCAGCGCCGCAGGGTCACCTGTTTTATTTACATTATATACAGATGGATGCAGGAGGTTATATCCAGGAAATCATTTTCTAAAGTTTTCAGATGGCACTGCAATTTTATCCTTACTAAGTAAGGAAGGTAGCACAACTAAATACTTACAAGGAATTCCAAGATTCACTGACTGGTGTGATGATACGTACCCAGTGTTAAACACAAGCACAACAACAGGGATTGGGGAGCACAGGCCGGCGTTCATCCACCACCGCACTGATGCTCAGGGTCTCTTACAGGGGTCTGGGGGTGTACATCGAGAACACCTTCACTTGGAGCACACATGCTGAGCACTCGTGCAGTAGGTTGCAGCAACAACTGTACTGGACAGAAACACCATGGTAATCTTCTCCCATGCAGTGCTGCAGCCTCCCGGCTCGGTACGGCAGCCTCTCCGCTCAGCTGAAGAACAAGCTGCTGCGTCGAGCCCACCTGCCTGGAACATCACAGGTGAGCAGGAGCTGCAACACATCTGTGAACAGGCCACTCCGGCCAACAAGATCTATCATATGTCTGACAGTACAAGTGGTTATCTTCTGGACGAAGGCTCAGAGCCCCACAGAACAGGTTTCAGGTTCAGTCTGTAAGAACAGACTGAAGAGCAGCTCTGCACTCGACACCTCTCCACCTGACAGCCTGGAAACAAACAAACATAAATAAGAAATAAAATCCTACTTCCTCCCTACAGCCGCTACTGGCATCAGAACCCTGTCACACCTGAGCTCATTCTGTGGTTCTGATCCAGGTTGTCTTCTCCTGACTAGATCCTTGCTGGTGCTGGATCTGCTCTCAGATGGACGTCACTTTGGATAAAAGCTGCTGATGAAACTGTAGAACTGTTGTACAATGTCAGATCCTTGGTAATGTGAATACCAAGGAATTTGACTGAGTCCACCCTCTGAACCTCTTCTCTGCTGGTATGGAGGGGGGCTGTATGACTCTCCAGGGCCCTGCACTACGAAGCCAGATCAACATATCCAGGATATGTTCCAGAGATCCAGCTTGACTAACCCTAACAGCCCACTCAGGGTAACCGGTTCTACGACGGTGGTCATCAACTCAGTAAGTCAACCCAGGTCTGTCTGATCTGAGCGCGTGCACATAAAATGGGCGGAGTTATGGGCCTCTGACCAATCAGGACTACGGACAAGTCTGGCTGCAGAGCGGCTCACTTTACCGCCGAGGAGCAGAACATCATCTGGACCAGATATGAAGAACATAAAACCATGATAGGAGCAGAAAGAGAGCAGAGCAGGAAGGAATGGTGGCAGGAGCGGGTGCAGCAGCGTCTGGGAGACGAGGCCTTCAGCTTGAGTTGGATCAGGGTGTGGCCGTTGGAGTTTCTACATTGGACCAAAGTGAGCAGCTCTCCTGCAGTTAGAAGAAGCCACTGCTTTTCAGGTGAAGAGGCTTTTTAATAGTAAAACTACTGACCAATCACAGCGAGCTCCGCTCCCAGAGGGGCTGTTAGATATGACGTCCCAGTATCACCGGGAGGTCATGAGGTGGTCAGAGCTTTGCTCTGAAAGTAACAATGTTCCTTCAGAACTATATGTACTTTCAATTATACAAAGTTAAAACTACTGAAAATAAATCTGTCATATCTTGCGATTCACAAAGAATCCAAACGTGGTACATCTAGCTCGAACGGTTACAAAGATAATGCAGTTTAGGGATATATGATTATATAACAAGCTGATAAATTAAAGAAGGACTTATCCAACTGTAATTAAGCTGTGGAGTATTTATCAGGACCTGATATATCACAACATTTAACAATTACACTGAACACAAGGTAAGAAGGCACATCCTCTGGTACTGTGTCTTATTGTTCATTCATAAGTCCAGTTGTTGCATACCACAGGACATGAGGGGTCAGCAGAACAATACGTTCAGCCCGGGGCACTTCATTGCACCCGGCCATCTGGACCATTTGTTAAGGTCTACGTGGTTGAATGTTTTTCTTTGTCTTCCCCCAAAAGCTTCATTGTGTTAGAAGCTCTGATAGGTGTGATAAGGAAGTTCCTAAAGGAGCTCTGCTTCCTCACTCCTCCGAGTCTGCAGAGCTGATTTACATGGTCCTGTGACCTGCAGGACAGCTCTGTCTTTTTTATGGCATGTGACTGGGTGCTGGAAAGTTCAAATGAAGTTTTTTGAATCCTTTTGGGCATCTGTGTCTGTCCATATCCTACACCCCAGATCCTGCTTCATAGAACAGGCCCCTGGTCTTCCTGAAGTCTATGATAACCTTCCTTGTTTTGATGATGAAGACCAGGTTGTTGTCTGCACACCACCCTACCAGATGTTGGACCTCCTGTCTCTGTACCAGGTCTCATTGATGTCCCTCATAAGGCCTACCACGGTAGTACCGTCGGCAGACTTTATGTACAAGATGGGACAAATTTGTTATGAATTTAAAACCACACCTACATGGACCGAGTTCAAATTACACAAGAACACACTGGAGCTGTAACAGAATGTACCACTAGCACAAGGTGCTTCAGTGTCAGTTTTAAGAAACACCATCCATCATCTCTACCTGGACAGGTAACCAGCCTATCACAGGGCTACACTTAGAGACAGACAACAATAATAATAGATTTGACAGCATCAAATCAAAGTTATTTACTAATCACATTTATTGATATATTTAAAAGCCATTTATATGTATTTCAGAGAAACATTATTTCTATGTGATATTGAATATNATGTAGGGCACGATGTAGGAAACCATGTAGGGCTCGATGTAGGGCACGATGTAGGGCGCGATGTAGGGCGCGATGTAGGGCGCGATGTAGGGCACGATGTAGGGCGCGATGTAGGGCGCGATGTAGGGCGCGATGTAGGGCACGATGTAGGGCGCGATGTAGGGCACGATGTAGGGCACAATGTAGGGCACGATGTAGGAAACCATGTAGGAAACCATGTAGGGCTCGATGTAGGAAATGATGTAGGGAACCATGTAGGGCACGATGTAGGAAATGATGTAGGAAATGATGTAGAGCACGATGTAGGGCACCATGTAGGAAATGATGTAGGAAATGATGTAGGGAACCATGTAGGGAGCGATGTAGGAAACGATGTAGAGAACCATGTAGGGAGCGATGTAGGAAACGATGTAGGGCACGATGTAGGAAACGATGTAGGGCACGATGTAGGAAACNCCACTGCTCATCAGCAAAGGCCTCTCATTGGTCCAGGACAGTTTTGTTTGTTTTTTTAAATTATTCTTTTCAAACACAATTCAAAATCAATGTCTTATTTGACCAAATTATAATTTAACACATTTTTATTTATTATGACTTTTTCTTTAATGGACGGGATGAAGACATCTGAGGACGACTGTATTCAACAGCTGTGATTGATAAAGGCTACTTTAGGTCAGATTCAGAGAATACAACAAGTGTTGTCTCTGTAGGCTCTCATCTCATATATGTGAGTCAGAGGAAGGTGCGTACCTTGTCTTGGCTTGTTGGTCCAGGGTTATGAATCTTGCTTCAGGTGTGAGAGGTCCTGGCTTCAAATCCTTGGCAAACTACTGATAAAGATGTCTGAAAAGTTGTGTAAGTGACAGAGAAATGTTACATGTTGCTCTTCAAACTGCATCACACCAGGGGGTGAAGCAGGGTTAGCGTTAGGGAAACCCACAGCGTGTCTCTGAACAAGTCCTAACGTGATCCTGAGAGATATCTGACTGGAACCCGCGTAGTACTGATATTCTGGCTTCAACAAAAGACTTGTGTTGGTCTCCAAGAAGTCTCAGGTCTAAATCTTGTGCACGTCCTTGATGACAAACACTTTATCTTTGCTGCACAAGTTGGTCTGAGATGTGAGACGTGTGCGTGCTAAACGTAATAGATCAGAAGGAGAACTGAAGCTGAGGTTGAGGATTCAGGACCTCTTGGTTGTCCTGTACTGTCTGGTGCAGCCTCCTGACACATCAGCGTACTGGGTTAGGGTTACTGATGATGTCTACATGTGTGACTGACTGAGGAATCCAGTTAGTTCCATTTATTTATACAGATCAAAGCCACACATCAGACGTCTGTACAGCACACGCCTGTTGATTCATGACGTCTGTACATGTGAGGCATCACATTATGAACAGAAGAAAACAAACCAGACGACAAACTGTTATCTAAAAGTGAGCAATTAGTAAAAGAACAATATAATCACTTAATCACACGTTGAATTTATTGTAATTTTTTAAAATGATTTTATAGAAACTTAAAGAGCCAGACAGTGACAGACAGTGACCCTAACCCTACTACACATGGTCTCATTATCTACTGTAGTGGACTGAGTTACAAGCCTCCATCTGATTGGTCAGTCCATCTGACCAACAACTTATCATCCACATCTACTTCTGTGTAGGAACGAGCTCATCAATGTCTCGGTTGACCTCCAGCCTCGTCTCCATGGAGACAAGCAGTTTGACACCGTCCACCACCAGCTGGGTCAGGCCCACCTCACTCTGGCCAAAGGTCGGCACATTGCTCACACGATACAGCTCCGGGGATTCTGGGAAATGAAAAGACAAACTGGTAACTTCTGCTGACTTTTAGAAAAACTAGTGGAGAGGTTCAGATATTTAAAATCTCTGTCCCCTGAAGACTCATCTCTGTGGAGCAAAGTCACACTTTAGGCCCAGCCCAGCCTTACAGTGGACCAGTGCAGCTCCACACCGTTCTTCTATAAAGTCAGTGCTCTGTTGCTCACTGCAGCTCGAGCTCAGCAGCTCACTCAAGCTGTAACATCAGAGGAATTCAGTCATAAACACTCCAACTGAAAACCGATTCTGAAGAAGAACATTAAGAAACATGTCGGTACATATGAAGCTCTGGAAGTCTGAATCTGTGTCTTTCAGTCACCGCACAGCAGCTTTATACTGAACCACATGCTGGCTGCTTATTCCACTGGGACATGTCTCCCAGTGTAAAAAACCAGAACATCATATGGACATGTTAATAAGACAACACAACAAACACTAAAATCGACTTGATGTTCACTAGAGTGGGTCTTTATGGTATGTTTTACGTTAAAGAGGGTGTACAGGAACCTACAGGTCACAGGTTTGATCCTAACTGCAGATAAAGCTTCAGTGTTTTAGAAAGATCTCATCCATAAATAACTCCGTCTATAACATACCTACACCGTCGCCCAGAAAGTTGGATTAATTGTTGTTTTCAGACACGTTCCTATTTTTATTTCTACTTCTACACATCAGTCATCACGTTGACCAGGTGCGCTGATTACAGGTGGAACCAGTTCTGACTTCAGGATGTGACTGAAGAGTTAGGGTTAGTGGGACGTCCTGCCCAGTGACACCATCAACCAGCTGGGGGACAGAACGGCACCATGTCTGAACACAGTGGTCCGTGTCAGGGGGCCAGATTCAGTACTGGTGACATCTAGAGTAATATTGGACACTCTGATGCATGGAGTCCCCTCCAATATGTGTTTCCTGTTAAATGAACAAGGTTGAACAACTGAAACAAAACCCTTCATCCTGTTGTTCACTGCCTCCAGTTTAGTTTAAGCCTGAACACACAGCTTGCAAAAGTTAGTTGTGGTTGAATTTTACTGTAATATGTGTTGTATGTATAATGTGATATCAATAAAGTTTTGAGAAGATATAAACTTTATCTATCAAGAACAAATCGCACTGTCACAATCATTTCAAGAGAACAGGTTTAAAAAACATATATTTATTACAACTTTATGGGCAGAAATGTACATGTTCTGCTTCTGTATTTGAGGCACCTAAATGAGGAGCTGCTCAGTTTAAGTCAGTGTATTTATAGAATCATAACACGTCATCCATTCCTTATGGCGTTATGAAGAGGACTGCAACAACTCCCCCATGAGCAGCACTTGGAGAACAAGCAAAAAAGAACACAGGTACATACAGGGTCAGTAGCTCAGGGTCTGAACATGCTGTGGTGTAGCGATGAGGTGAATCCAGACTGCAGAGTGACATAGAACCTGACACTTGACCTACTGCTGCACGCCAATGTGACAGACTAAAGAGTGCATCCACGGTAGAACCAGGCGGGGGCAGCACAAGCCATCTCACCGATCTCCAGGAAACTTGGTTAGTTTGAAGGGTCCACCCAAACCTACTCTAGTCTAAGTTTAAGGACCTCTGGTCAACCCGGGGGGAGTTGTTCACCCCTTGTTTTGTTTTTTAAACAAGAATGACCAAAAATCGCCTAAAAAACTGGTCTACAGTATAAAGCTCTACTGCTGTGAGAATTCAACCAAATCTTTTCATATTTTCAGTGAATGTTATCCTACCCAAAGACAATCTACTGTCCACGTTTGGTTCTCCTACGACGAGTTCCATCACACCAGTCATGTGAGACCAGACGCCCCTCTCACCCAACAGTGAAAACTGCTAAAATACCCAAAGTTTAGGCCAAAATATCTCCGATGCCCGAGCATGCTTCAGAAAACGGAGCATACCGTCTAAAAGGTGGGACTTCATACTAACATTATCTGCAATAAAATCTTTGGCCACTCACTGAATGATCCTACAGGAGGACTGCAAACACGTCTCCACCACAGGTTACCTGCTTCAGTTTGTTTTATTATAACGCACTGATTCTGACATGGCATCTTAATACAGAAAACTTCATCAAAAAGACTTCCTCTACTGAGAATCAACTGATTCGCTTGAGACTCAATGTTGGCTGCTGAATACGCCTAAACAGCAGGAAAGCGTTTGACTGTAAAATCATCCCTGAAATGACTTCCTGGCCAGCGCGTACATCTTTGTGATCTGATAGCTGGATTCGATCTTCCATAAGAACTACAAACAGAACAAACTTTCACCCTATTAAAAATACTACTGATGCAAACGAATCAACTTGTTCTGTTTTCTTCTAAAAATCAGCGTTCATGTATGAAGGTTTGTGATTCTAAATGCTGAATTGGGGCTTAGGTTATGTATTGGAGCTACTAGCCCAGATACAGCCAGAGGTTGTTGAGATTCACAGGATTTCTATAAGTAGACTGTTGACTGCCAAAAGGTGTGCATGTGCATGGATGAAAAATTCAAAGTGTTCCTCACCTGCACCGATCAGTTAGAGGCATACGATGCAGAGGTGAAAAGGTCTGTGGTAAAAAACCATGTAACCCTAACCCTATCGTGGATGCACTCTTAACACCTTAACAGACTCATTTAAATGCAAAAAAGGCTATAATGCAGCCATGACAATTATGGCATTTTTGTTGGCTGCTAAAAACGTGTTTTTCAAAGCCGTGTGGTAGATGCATGAATGCAAAATGTGAAGTTATGAAGTGGCCTGCATGTCAGATATTGGTGATACCAGTGTGACCTTGATCTGAAATATATAAACAAATGTAATAAACTTCACCAACATTGCCCCTACCATAGAAGAAATGAAGCTGTAGTTACACACAAATCACATTTACACTTAAGACTAAAATAGAACTTGAAGTAAAAATGAAGCTACTGAGTACCTGTTTTGTCCATGCAGATCCTCAGCCTCTTCAGGACGTCCTGCAGGCGTTTGTGTTTGGGGAGGTGTTGCAGTTTAAGATACACACTAATCTTCAGACCTGTTCCGACATGAGCCGGGGAGCTCGTCACCCATCCCAGCTGCTGCTTCCAGATGAAGGGGTGTCTGAGCTGTCTGTAGTAGTCCTCCAGCTGAACCAGACACAGGAGGACACAGTCAGAGACAAAGGTCCATTTTTAACCACTAAAAAACACACCAATTGCTCAGCACCAACAACCTACAGGATAGTATACTGGCAGTTTAATTTTATTAGCTGATATATACCCCAGTACAGACATATACATGCAATAGACTTATATCAGATGGTATACGACTCTATCAGTGTAACAATGGACGTAACATCGGCCCACCGTCACAGCAAAACTAGGCTTGGTTCATGTGACTTGAGATTTATATCCTAAAAAGTTGCTGCATCTACTGTGACAGTGATATATGTAGTGATAACATGTTTTACATCTTGCTAATCACATTATATCCGTGTAAGTATTTGATTTGTGTTTGTCTGTCCCAATGAATTCCAGTGTGACCAGTTTAAGAGTGTCTGAACTGTTTGGTTGAGTACATTTATTTCTGATAGACTTTAATTTAATTAAGTTTGAAAGATGTAGTCTTATTATCTTGCCTAAACATCTTTTGTTAGATTTAAAAGTTCCAGAGTATAAATGTGCCCTTATTAGAGAAGTATATATAGAGCACTTGTATTAAAAACCAACAGGTGTCGATCAAATAAGAGTCATCAAAAATGCGTCATAAATGAAAACGTTGACTTGCATTGATTGTCATTGTAATTAAAAAACGTTGGTGTGATCAGACTGGTCATTGACCTTCTGCAGGTTGTTGCAGATGCATCTAAAAGCTTCAGCCACGTTGGCATCTTCTCGTTTGGACACCAGCCTGAGGTGGTCCTCCATGTTGATCCAGACCACCAGACTGCTATCTTTACTGACCCTGCATGAGAAAATATTGGGATTAAATTTTACACAAGAGAATTTTCTCAGGTACTTTCCCTCCCAAAACATCATAGGTACCTGAATCTTTGGCCAGATTTCAATTATTGATGTGAATGTCTGGTGGTGCTGAGTTGCTTCTGCCCATTCTACCCCCCACATATACACACATCTGGAGCAATTAGTGTTTTATTGTCTTTCTCATGGACAGTTTGACAGATGAAGCTGGGATCCAAAGTTACATTTAATGGATAACCTGCTCTACCATCTGAGACTTAGCTCTACATAGAAGAAGCAAAACTGACCAGACTGCCCTGGCATCAGGCCAGTCCCGGGCCAGACCAATACGTAGCTGGGAGGAAGATGGAGGCTTCAGGGTTAGTTCCCTCTGCTGCTCCTGGTTCAGCTCTTCCAGTAAGAACAGTTGACCTGATAGCTCCTCCTCCTCCAGCCGCTGCAAAGCTAAAAAAGACAGGAGACACTGGTCAGCTGGTTAGTACATGGACTTGTACTGACAAAGCATCTAACCCTAACCCTAGGCCAAAAGTAGATCCTAACTGCCCCTAAATTTAGCACTTCAAAGTGGGTAAATTATCAAATCCAAAGCAATGGTGTCAATCTTGCCTTTTCTTACTTTAAGAGCTTCTCTCTGTGGCTTTGCATCAACATATTTACAAAGTCTTAATAAGGAACCTTTTCCATTGAGGAGAACTTCTTGCAGTAATATAACTGTTGGGCAACAGCTTACCACTGCAAGTCCAGTTCCCATTTATTGCTCAGATGCAAATAGTGTTTGTCTGTTCATGTTATTTTTCAAAAGTGGCCAAAAGTTAGTGTAAACCGGTTATGGTCCTGCGCTTATGCACAAAAGAAGAACAACAAAGACTTCAATCGCAACACATTGTCAAACAGAAGTAAACATGGAGGCCACTGAAGTCAGGGTTCACCGTTTTATTTCTATGAATGTCAGACTGTTGATTTTTGGAAGTTAAAGACCTCAGAACAGTGGGGAAGCAGTCTCAACAGTAAGTATACTGGCCCTTTACTGTACTTTATCAATACAAACTAAACCGTTCTGTGGCAAATTTGTTCTCCAAAACTGGAGCCCAAGCCAGCCGTAATCAGCCTAACACACAGACATGCAGTACCTTTCCTGGCCAGTGTGAGGAGCTGCCTGCGCTCTCCTCGGCTGCAGTGTGTTGGGAAGCAGAAGTCATCAACACCTCGAATAACACTGACCTCACAGCGTGCAGCGTATGACCTGTCCAAGTCATCGCCCCCCTGCACACACACAAATACACACACAGTGATTCATGCTGGTCAGAAGGTACAGGTAGCGTTTCTGGACCATACAGGTAGTGTTTCTGGACCATACAGGTAGTGTTTCTGGACCATACAGGTAGTGTTTCTGGACTTTACAGGTCATATTTCTGGACCATACAGGTAGTGTTTCTCGACCACACAGGTAGTGTTTCTGGACCTTACAGGTAGTGTTTCTGGACCTTACAGGTAGTGTTTCTAGACTTTACAGGTCATATTTCTGGACCATACAGGTAGTGTTTCTCGACCATACAGGTAGTGTTTCTGGACC